AAACTATCGCATGACATCAAGCCTTACTTTGGTTCAAAATGATGCTCTGGTTCTTCCCCCCCCCCCCCGCCCGATTTTAGAAATATTCTGGTGTTTCAGGGATACCTCGTTTCCCTCAACAAACCAACTCCCCCCTAGAAATGTCCTCCCCTTCAATATGGTATTCAGAAAAACGTTTTCCAGTCTCTGCTCTGAGATTATGCCATTGGCTACACAGGCTAGTTCTACTACAGGGGGACACAGTGGGGAATCAGACTCCTAGCTTCTGGCTCCACAAATAGCCAGCTCCCAAATAGAGTACAAACATTCCATCAACAGAACTTACACAGGGTTGACAAAGTATCTAATAGTGCTATAGCTCAGTGAGTTAGGCATGGTCAAGAGTTCAATTTCGGACTACAGTATAAATCCTAGAAGAGCCCCCAGAAGAAGGAAATAGTAAACCACTTCCGAGTACTCTCTAAATCCAACTGCTGGTCCTCTCTACAGTAGAAGTACTTCAATTTAGTTTCCCCAAATTCAGAATAAGGCATTGTGTCCATATTCATTTCCTACCAGTTCCAAAAATGAATTCATATATACCTTAGATCTGTTAAATGAAGGGGAGGCTAAGAATGGATAACCATCAAACTCTATGTCAGCCCGGCAAAATTCTGATCAGGAATAGAGTGCTAAAAGCTATGTTCTGTCTGTCCCACTGTGTTGCTCAAAATCAGGACAGATTAAAATCAACGATTTTAAAAAATCAAAAATTATTTAATTTAAATCAGACTTTGATTTAAATTGGGTTTTTAAAATTGTAATCAAATATATTTTAATGAAATGTTTCTGGAGGAAAATCTATTTAAAGCTAGTTTTCTTTTTAAGATACACTATAGTTCAGCATGAAATACAGCTCAGTTATGTATCACGAGGCTGTATCTCATTACAGAATTTACATTTTTGGTAAACTAATAAAATTAATCCCAAATTTTCCAAGCTGAGATACTTTTTCATAGTAAAAATGGTATAAACAAGTTCAGGAAAAGACTTTAATCCCATTGTTGTTCTGCAAATCTATGTACAAACAATGAATACACTCGTTCAAGTGCTCGGTTTGAAGTTTGTGAAACCTTCTGGGCAGCTTACAACCCTTGGGATTTTGTGCAGTTAGTCTGAAGTTGTTTGTTTCTCTAAAGATATTTTAACCAATTTGGATAATAAACATTGATGTTTAAGCAAATAGAAGAATATGTACCCTATATAATGTCATTGCTATAAATAAAACCTTTTAAGTAGCTCTCCAAATGAGTGATTAACATATGAAACTAAAATCAGCAAGAATTTACATTTAAAAATCTTGATTTAAATAGTTTTACTGACTAGTGATTTAAATTGTGATTCAAATTGACTTGATTTAAATTAAATCCACCCTTCTCAAAATTCAATTTTGATGCAACTGACTCAGAACTCAATTGGCACAGCTCGCGGTATACAGTATAGATATGAAAGGACTAACATGAGTTGGGTATATAATTGTCTGGAGAAACTTTTTATATATTTCGTACTGCTCAGAATATGCATGAAAAGCTCTACAAGCAAAATAAATCCTAATCCTGGTCGAGAACTTTGATTCCCCAACTCCTGTAAGTGGATTAATTTAGGTAGATGAAAAGGTTTTCCCTTACTTCTCACATTCCTCCCCATTACAGAAAGAATATGGTAACACATTTTACAAGAGGCTTTGCCTGCAAACCAGTCACTCATATTTTTGTTACTGCAAAGAGCTTTCAAGCACATTTCTCAGCCAAATGGGGCACATCATAAAGCCTGAAGAATGGAAAGGACTGCAATTCTGTAAAATACTGAAACGGACAACAAAAATGTGTTGGATTATGCTTTTCAATTGACTTTAATCGTTATATCACCTTTGCAATAAATAACCTTTTCAGTTTGATTTAATTCCATTACTTATTGGTCAAACAATAGATGGGGGTATTGATATTCGAATATCCCAGCGCGGGTGGCGTTAACAAGGGTCCAGCCCCCATGGGGTCAGATGGTCCACCCACCAATCCACCAGACGGCACGATTCTACGAATGGTGCCGCAGTGCGCAATCTGCTCACAACTCTGACCTCGCAGCGAGGCTTGTCCTCCCACCTCCTGACAGTAGCGAGCACCGCGTGCTTCGGCACCATTCGTAGAATCGTACCATCTGTGTCTAATCAGTGACTGGATCGTCCAGCCCCATAGGGCATGACCCTTGTTAACACCTGTTATTTACCTAACAACCATTTTTTCAGCGTAGCTATATTTTTGTTCTACACTTCTTCTCAATGATATAATCAAAATGCAAGTTATGCCTGCTGCTTACTTTGTGTATTATTTCCCTGTACTTGAAACATCCCAAAAATTCAGTCTTGCCCATAGTTGGCACATATTCAGATAATAATTCTGAAGAAACAACTGCAACTGTTGGTATTGTGAGCTTTATTTCTAAAGCTGCTGTGAGGATACTCTTTTTCATCCACAAGGAAAGAACTAGTTATCTGTAGTCAACAACCTAGTGATTTTAGAGAGGTTTCCAATCTTCACTTAATAAAAACACAGGACAGTGTAAACCCAGAGCACTTGGCTGACTTTATTATAGAGAAATTTGTAAGCAAAATAAAAAATCAGCGGTAACGGTGCAGCTGTAAGGTGTTGCGTCGTCTCCAAGCAGCACGGCGGGAGCCACCAATTGTGTGATGGAATTTGTGGCCCTTGCCAAGACCACGGCTTTTCCTGCCAGCAGAGGTCAGCCCACGCATCTCTCTGTGTTTGTGAACTGGCTTTGTGATCCATTGGGTATCTGGATTGCGCCTGATTGCTTTGTGGAAAGGATCAACCAGGATGACCTCAAAGAACTTGTACGTGGAATCTTCACCCACCCAGTAAGAGTTCAATACTCTCAGGGCTCCACAGTGGCGGCCAGCACGTTCCTAGACAAAAAGAAAGCTTGCATTATGGGAGAACTTAGAAGATAAACAACTGGGAATTTGGAACAATGACAGATCAACAACTGAAAATGATGAAATATTTAGTAATGATATTTTACAGGTTCAACAAAGATCAAGGACTTTTATGTGGAGAAATTATTTTCTTTACCAGAAATGGAATGAAAGTCTTTAATCTTCTAAGCTTCCAATGAAGGATGAACTAATACTACCGTGGTGGAATGGTATGCTAGAAGAGCTTTCATTAGAAACATAGTAAGATGGAGGGACAGAGGTCAGCCCACGCATCTCTCTGTGTTTGTGAACTGGCTTTGTGATCCATTGGGTATCTGGATTGCGCCTGATTGCTTTGTGGAAAGGATCAACCAGGATGACCTCAAAGAACTTGTACGTGGAATCTTCACCCACCCAGTAAGAGTTCAATACTCTCAGGGCTCCACAGTGGCGGCCAGCACGTTCCTAGACAAAAAGAAAGCTTGCATTATGGGAGAACTTAGAAGATAAACAACTGGGAATTTGGAACAATGACAGATCAACAACTGAAAATGATGAAATACTTAGTAATATTTTACAGGTTCAACAAAGAACATCAAGGACCTTTCTGTGGAGAAATTATTTTCTTTACCGGAAATGGAATGAAAGTCTTTAATCTTCTAAGCTTCCAATGGAGGATGAACTAATACTACTGTGGTAGAGTGGTATGCTAGAAGAGCTTTCATTAGAAATCATAGTAAATGGGGGGGAACAATCACCCATTTTATCTTGTACTTACCATCCTACTTCCTTAATACTTTATTGTTCCTAGTATATATGCTTCATTAACTGGACATTTACTCACTATACGTTTGTGATTCTTTACGTGTCCAATTTTATTTACAGAAACAATTCTTTACCTCTCTAAACATCCCGTTTAAAGAATAAGCTTATGACAGAATCCTTCAAAGCAAAATATTCCAATGGCTTACCTAAAATTTTAATTATTAAAAATAAAGAATATTCACAGTACCACAGCTATTCATTAACACCACCCCTTTATATTCACAGCGTGACATCTGGAATGCCTCTCTGTCGCTCTTTTCCAAAAAGTTGTTAACATTAAGTTGACTTACAGAAAATTAAGACTCCTCTGGCCTCAACACAAATTCTGACCATGTCCATACAGTAAAAACACTAGAATTCTCAATTATTTCAAACTATTCAAGAACAGCAAAAATCGTAATAGCTGATAAGGCTCACAAGAGGAACCCACCTCTGCTACTGACTGGAGGCTCCGGGCAAATTTCAGCTGGTTAACACCATGGTGCACAGGTTTACCATACGTAGCACCCTTGGGGACTGGACGTTTGCGGCCACCACGGCGAACACGAATGCGGTAGATAACATAACCTAAGATGTAAGTGTAGATATTAGGACACCAAGGAAACAGGATTTCATAGCAATTGCTTTTTACTACTATGAATAATCTACTGAACAAAAACAAACCATCAAATTGCTGGACAACCCTTTTTTATACATATAATTTAAACAATCTGGGATTGCCTGAAACATGAACAATGTAAAGTGCAATATAAACTGTGTCTAAAGTGGCAACATTCACCATCATAGATTAGATGATGCCTCCATTCAAATACCTTGACATCTCAGAGGTGCTCTTGCAGTTTAGTATTCTTAGCATAACCACACAGATGCCAAGCCACACTACTTTTCTGCTTGGTAAGTTGACAAGTATAACACGGCAGCAGGAATTCTTGTACATTCAAGATATTCTCCCTTGAACTGTAGGGGTCTGAGCAGTGTGATTTTGGTTGTACATGGATTTTTTTCAGTAACAAATAAATATTCAAGAAATACTGTGCCCCTGGCCATTCAAACCCCATGAGTTCAAAACTGAAGATGTCAAAGTGATCTACTTGCCCACAAACACAACATCTCTAATTCAGTCTCTAGATCAGGAGATCATAAAAACCTTTAAGGCTCATTACACGTGGTACTATATGGAAGATTGTTAATGGCATGGAAGAGAACCTCCAATAGAGAACTGTTCTGTGCATGTGCGTGAAGAAATTGTTTATGCTTTGTAGTTATGTTTCTGAGGGCATAAAGAGTTAATGTGAAATCCATGAGGGTCCAGCGCCCAGAATCCCAGCATCACTGAAGGGAGAAGTGTATGCTCAGTACTACCAGGAACATATGTGCTAAACATAGCATAGCCATCCTTCAGTCTCAATAGACTATTGTAACATGCTCTGAATCGAGGAGTTGAAGAAATTGTTTATGCTTTGTAGTTATGCTTCTGAGGGCATAAAGAGTTATACACCAAATGTGAACTCCATGAGGGTCCAGCGCCCATAATCCAGCATCACTGAAGGGAGAAGTGTATGCTCAGTACTACCAGGAACATATGTGCTAAACACAGAACCAAATATGTGGCAAAATCCACATTTACTACACGTGTCCTGAAGGAAGGCTACTTTAGTCTGTTGCACAAAAAAGAAAAATAAGCACAGAATGAATGAATGAACCTTATGGTATGTGGGACTCCAGCTCCGGATTTTGCCTCGAGGTTAACTCCTGAAGCCTTTTCCATGCGTGGATATAGCCACAAGGCAGTGGAGGTTTGAAATCGGAGCTTTCCTTCTCCTAGATGGGCTGCCTTCCATGGCTGACAAGCCCCACCTACCCGGCTGTGCTAAACACAGAACCAAATATGTGGCAAAATCCACATTTACTACAAGTGTCCAGAGCTAGAAAGTTTTACTTAGCCTGGACTGCAGCACATTTCTCTGGATGCACTTCCTGCTGCTTTTAATTTTACTGCATCACTGAAGTTGCAAGTACCTTGCTTAGCTTTATATCCCAGCCTACGAGCTTTGTCTGGTCTGGTAGGACGGGGAGCTCGATGGAGAGCAGATAACTGGCGATACTGCCAGCAGCGAACTCGCAACAGGAAACGCATCACATCTGACTGTTTCTTCCTCCATAATTCCTGAATATACTTATAGGCACCCATTGTGGCTTAACTGATAAAAAAGAAAGATATATTAAAATTACATGAATTTCCTCTATATACTAATATTAGCTTCTACAAATGGTGCTTCAATTCTCTACTAATACATTGTGGCTTAACTGATAAAAAAGAAAGACATATTAAAATTACATGGATTTCCTCTAAATATATACTAATATTAACTTCTACAAATGGAGCTTCTATTCTCTACTAATGTGGTACAATTCTTAACAGGAGGTGTACAAGAGTTCACAAATCATTTGTCCACATCTTCCACCTAATGATCCTACAAATGGAGCTTCTATTCTCTACTAATGTGGTACAATTCTTAACAGGAGGTGTACAAGAGTTCACAAATCATTTGTCCACGTCTTCCACCTAATGCTGATGAAGACCGTGGGTGTTTCAAAATCTTTCATACTATCAATAAACAGATCCACAGCAAAACTCCTGTGATTTGGGGGGAGGCACCTCTATTCCTTATAAATGCCATGATAAAAGAATATAAATGCATATGGCCCTAACAGTATTTACTAGCTCTCAGAAATGCTGTTATTTTAAATCTAAAGAACATCAAACTCAGGATCTGCAGTTTGCTTTGAAAGCTACTTGTGCAATACAGTACTATACTGTATTAACTTCACAAAATACACAGAATTCAAACACTGTCACATTTTACTTCGCTGCTGTGTCTTCACCCTTCTTCACACATTGTTTCAGTCTCATTGCAACCTGCAGGACTCAAAATTTTCAAAAACAAAAGTCGAACCCCTCACAATAACTGCTTACCAAGTGGAAGTTCTTACTACACTCACTTTCTTGTAAACCTAAACCCACAATGAACTCCCACACCTTTCAGAAAATTGTAATCGCTCCTTTAGAATACAAACACACAACCCAAGTTTCCCATCTGCTTTAATGGGTCACAAGCAAAGCTTCTTTAAGCACACTATCTGCTCATCTCTCTAGTTTTGAGTGGCATCAACCAACTCTCTAGACTCAGAACTGTTCCTATCCTCTGCTCCTTGGCCTCTTAAACGCGAGATGCTGGATTGAAACGTGACGGTTTCCACGTGCCAATTACAGTAGTTGCACTATCATAGCTGGGTTATAGCCTCTATAACTACTCTAGAGCAAGGAAAGCGCGAGTTGCGCCCCTGCGGACTTCCGCTGGCCTCCTGCGCAGAAGGCAAAGCGCCGATACCATGGGGGCGATGCCTTCCAACGGAGGCACCAGGAGGCAGAAGGCCCTCTCCCCGACTCCTTCCCAGCGACCTCCCTTAAGCCCTTCTAGTCAGGCCACCCGGTCAGGCGAGCGAAGGCCCAAGGCCCGCCACCCAAGCCCGCTAAACAATCCCTTCCTTTCTGGGACAACTCAGCCGCCCTCTACCCCGACCCTCCCCACCTGTGAGGCAGAGCTCCAACGAGGCGGCCAGAGGCCTCCTGAATCTAGGATGGTGACGGATTAAACCAGACATACTGCCCGCACACAGATCCTTACCTAGCGGCGCCCGAAGCCGGAAAGGAAGAGACCTGACTCCCACAATGCTTTGCGACAGCGGAGGGGCGGGAAAAGGAAACTTTGTGCTCCGCTGCCTGCTGGGAAGTGTAGTTTACGTACTCCGGGAAATGCAGAGTTTTGCTGGGGGGGGGAGCGCGAACGTTGAAGAGATTCCACCTCCTCTCCCTACCCCTCATTCTTCTCTTAGGTTTATTATTCAAATGAGAAAGCCTGGCTTCGAATTTGGGTTGTTTACATTTCTCCTTAATTGCAGAGGTCGAGTCGTTTTATGTGACTTTTAACGCGTGAGGAGGCAGCGAATACGCTCTGGACATGCTCACAGACACTCTTGTCTTTATTATTTAGCACATTTTACGGTTTGGATTTGACGTTGGAAACCGGTGGTGCGTCTTATTTCAAATTATGATAGAAATCCTACCCAGAATGGGGTGTTCTTTGTGAGTTACAAGGAAGTGGAAACAGAAAAGCCAGTAGCCTCAATCTGTTTTGGTACCTAAAATCGGAGTGATTAGGCCTTAGGTATATTTCATACGCACGTAATCTGCTTTCACCTGAGAAAATACTGTCCCGTTTACTGTATTTTGAAAGGGGACTTCGGTAGGTTCAGCTGAACAGTGTAATTTATTTAATTAAGATAAACTGGTGAGGTTCATAATGAATATACTGTGAGATCCTGTTTTAACGTTTAAGCTGAACAATCTAGCCCATACATATGGTCTTGAAATCTTTTAATGTATTTTTGGGTGGGGGTAAAGAGGTATTTGCAATTAGATTTGGTATTATGGGAGAAGTGGGCTTTTTATTTCAGATTAAGTTATTTGTGGGAAAAGAAGAGTAAAGTGATCCTTTATAAATAATCAAGGGATAATCCTATAGAAGTTTCTGCTTGAGCTCCTATGAAAGTATATGTGAGTCCAAGCAGAAACTTTTATAGGATTACACCTTAATTGTTTATCTAAAGACCCAAATGAATTCTGTTATTGCAGTGTTTCCAAACCCTGTCAATTCAAATCAAAGATTTACAGTTTCCCATGCACATACCATAAAGTATTGGGATGCCTTTAAAACTAAAAGATTTACAGTACTTCAGTGTTGAGATTTCCTGGATTACAATCTGCTCCCCCCCCCTTTCAGGCATCCTGAAGGAAGGGAGTTCCTCAGGCTTGGTGTTTGAGGAAATGGATTCTAATCCTCAAACATTTACATTGAAGCACACCTATCAGTCATAAAAATGGCACAATATCTTTCTTTGTGATATCCTTGCTGAAGTAGACTAACGCGTTTCTCGGAAAACAGCTTCAGGTACAAAACTAGTTATGTTTTTTCCTGTTCTGTTCTTACTAAAATTTTCAGGGGAAGTTTGCTGGGTTAGGCTCTTGTGGCAGAAACAATAAAGGCTCCCATGTTGCTTTAACATTGTATTTGAGAGATTGGGCAGAATGTTTATTTTATTATTGCTTTTTGTAGTTTACTTGTATTCCACGTGTTACATACAGCACTGATGTTACCTGTCTGTCATGGGTTTGGAGGGAAAGTTCCATCCTATGGGGAGTGGAAGGCGGGACATCAGGAGGAGGGGCTGTACTGTATATATATGTGGAGCTTGTGTGGAGAAGCTGGAGAAGAGCTGAGAGAAGAAGCTTGAGTGGGAGTCTGTGTGTCAGACAGGGTACTACTGTGTGTCAGTCAGTACCAACCTGATAAGTTCAGGTGTCTGTATGGTTAGCCAGAACTGATAGGTTCAGGGTCTGTGCTTCAAGTTAAGTGTTCTGTGTGAACCAAACTGTGTGTATGTATGATTGAGACTAAGCCACGTTACTGTATCTTATTCACTTGATCCTTTTATTTTTCCTGTGTGTTATTTAATAAACCTTGTTCTTTTATTTGTTAAAAATCCATCCCTGGTCTGTGTGACTTCTTATAGGGAATGGTTGGTGGCAGCTTAGTGAAACTGTGGCATATCCCAGTAGGTCTGGGTTTGTCACACCACGTATTTCAAGTCTTTTGAGGTTTTAATGTTACATAAATGATGTTCACTTTTATTATCTAAGTCTGCTTGTGTATGATAGTATTAAGATGGGGTTTTATTATTTATTCATTGCACTTATGCAAGTGCTCAGGATGGTGTGTGTAGTTTTTCTTGTATCATTTTATTCTCTCAACAACTCTTTCTGATACATCTGGCTGAGAGGTGGGGACTAGTCAAGGCCCTGCAATCAGATTTACTGCTGGAAGGAATTTGGAACCGTTACATCCCATGTTCCAGTCCCAACACCCTAGTAAGGCTTTTCATGTTTAGGTACAGCACTCTAGCCACTGCACCTCACTGCCTGTCTAATATTTTCAGTAATATTTTCAGTAATACTCCAGCTTTTGTAAGTTAGGGTTTTCTTTGGTTGGGGGGGGGGAATAAAATGTGTTTTTTAAAATGTAATTGGTGTTGGAAGTTGTGTAGCAGGTAGCACCACAGCTCTATCTTGCCTGTGTTTTCTGTGAGTGAGACCTTCACTGACTAAAGTCCATGTTTTCTGTCCCTGTTTATGCTGCTGGGGTTTATGCATGTTTTATACCAGTTTTCTGGGAAGAATGCATTTATTGGATCACCAAAACGCTATAGAAAAAGTACACTTCTAAGTTCCCGTTCTTTGGGCCTAGGTGGCATAGGATAGCAGAGAAGCAAAAGTCTCCCAAATCTGGCAGGATATAAAGGTTATTGTTCTTGATGGCAGGCTGCTTCCAGGTCTGTAATATCTGTTTTGCAAGCAAACTGTCTTCAAGGACAATGGCCATTATATCTGGCCATACTTTTTGCTTCTTCCCATTTTGCAATTTTATATCAATTACGGGTGTGTTAAGATGGGCATATTTTGACCAATTGAACATTTTCTCTGTTCCTTAGTAGGGGAAGTGATTTTTAAAAAAACTAGAGTAGACCATCACTGTTGTGCTGCATCACATGTAAAAATAAATAAAATATTTTCTTTTCCTTCTATGAAGAGCCGGTTGAGAAACTTCTCACATCCTAATATGTGGAATAAGTATACCCTAAGTGATGCTTTGCATCACTTTAAAACATATTTTTAAAATAATTTCTTTGCCTTGTCTGAAGGCCTATTGACAGACTGCAGGTTGTTTCTTGAACAGCACTTTAAGGCATTGTTCAGTTATTGTTCTGTTATATTATTCAGTATGTGAGTCTTTGAAACTCAGAAACTCTTGTTGGTGATGTCATTTGTATGCAATTTTTGTGTAAATATAACATCTTACTGGTGTTGCACACAATTTGTATACAGAAGGTCTCTGGATCTGTCCCAGCGAGTCTATCTGAAGCTCTGCTGTCATTTTGTATAGACTGTACTGTTGACCGACATGTAACAGTGTACTCATTTGGTGAATAAATAGGGTTGAGGTGAGGTGGGATGGGGTGCTACTGAATGAGAGTGGGAATCACCCAGTTTCTATGCTGCTGACAGAAACAGTTTGATAACAGAAGAACATTAATTAGATCCAAATTAATAGAATGTGATAAAAATATGTTTCAAGTAGAGTAATAATGTTGGCCTTTGTCATGTCTTTTCAATTTTGACCTTCCACTAATATTTGCAAATGTTTTAATTTTTGTATTATTTGGACAGGATTTGCTTGGCCCATTAAAACAGCCTGAAAGAAAATGGGGAAGGGCTACAAAGTGGTAGTTTGCGGAATGGCTTCAGTGGGGAAGACAGCCATTTTGGAACAGGTCCTCTATGGTAATCATAGGGTTGGTAAGAGAAATAAGTTCTTCCTTTTTTTCTGAAAAAGCTAATAAAACAAATGTTGCCTTTTAAAATAAATAAACCAGTCTAATAAATGCAACATCATAACAATAGTATTTATAAATGGTTTTTATATTGTTTATTGTTGCATATGAACCAAGTGAAGTGTTGTTCACCTCTAGTGATACAGAATTTGGTACAGTTGGAGAGGGGCAAGCATTGTACTCCTGTTTGTGGATAGTTTAGCCTATGAGAATATTTATTTTTTATGTTTGCAGTGTACAGCAGACGAGCGCTGAGCTCATGGCTGCTAAACAGGAGTAGCAACTTTGGATAGAGAGCCAGTGTGGTATTGTGGACTAGGACTCGGTACATCTGGGTTCAAAATCCCTACTCAACCATAGAAATTCACTAAGAGGTGGCACTGATAAAACAGCTCCTTATGTGTCACATATCTTGGAAACCCTATTGGGGTCACTATAAGTCAGATGCCATGCTATAATAACAAGACAGATGTGACTTGATGGTGCATAGCACACACAAGTACTTTTCCAGGTAAAATTTGGAAATGTACACTTATTCCTCAAGGAAGTCCATTCAGGGATAGAGCAGCAAAGAGAGTCCTAAATTAGTTACAGAAACCCCTAAACTGGCTTTGGTATGTGCAATTGTGTCCATGTGAGTCTGCCCCTTTATATCTAGGAGCTAGGAGGAAGGGGATAAGCAACAAGAGAAGAGAGGAAAAGGCACCAAAGCTGTAGTTCTGTCCGTTGTTTACCTCACAAGTTGGGAACACTACTTGTGTTGGTGCTTCAGTTCTTAAACAACCTCTGGAGACTGGGACCAAATAATGTCAGAGGGTAGTCTTTATTGGTACCACATAATGAGGTGGAGAGCAAAGAATCATTTTGGTGGAACTATAGGACAACACATTTTTCTCAATGCCTTTGCACAAGGACCAGAGTTCATATCTTGAAGGATACGTCTGTAAGAGGTCAATGTGCATTGCTTTCTACTGGGAAAAGCATGTGCGTTAGTACCTAAGAGCTTAATGAGCATTCTTAGAAAGTAGGGCTCATTCCAGATGCTGCATTTGTTCCACCTTAATGTCTGTGTTGTGCACCAATCTGATATCCAAATGATGTTCCTCTTATTGAACTTTGTACTTTTCTCATGACTTCCTTTTTTTGGTCCATAAGTCTCAGTAATATTAAAATGTTAACCAACAAACCGACAACAAACCACCACCACTCCAATAAAATAAGACATGTGCATGCTTGTTTAGGCCACAGAACACTAGGAAAACCAGGATCTGGTCAATGGGGAATGGGAATCAAAATCTGTATAAATTTTTGATCATTAAGACAATCCTTTGTATGTGCAAGAAAGCAACATTCCACTTGATACGCAGGATGTGCTTTTGAATATTTTATATTTTGGGGTGAATTTTGTCCTTCTGAAAATAATAGGTGCAGAATGCTTTGCAACCATAGAAGACGTGTATGTGGCTTTAGTTGAGACAGATCGAGGAGTAAAGGAACAGTTGCGTCTTTATGACACCAAAGGGATGCAAGGGAAAGAGGAATTCCCCAAGCACTACTTCTCCATTGCAGATGGTTTTGTTCTGGTATATGCTGTGAACAGCCTGGAATCCTTTGAGATAGCTGACTCGCTCAAGAAGGAGATTGACAAATTTAGAGACAAAAAAGAGGTAAAAAACCAAATATTTGCATTCTTCACTTGCTTCTGAAGTATTATACAGAAAATGTGATGGATGCAGGAGAATTAACCACCAGATTGTATGGTTGCTCATGTTACAGAGAGTGTCACATTGCGCAGAAGAAAGCAGAGCAACTTGTAGAATGTAGGAAAGAGGTTGTGCTCTGGGTTGCATCCAGCATTATGGGAGTTGTGTGCTTACTTGAACAATGTGACTTCAGCTTTGTCGCTGCTGCATGTCTCCCCATCTGCTCCTCAGAATTCAGGAGTCCTCTGGAGCAGATTTTGGCAATGGACACTGGAAGGACTGCACAGAGGAGATGTATCTTTGCCTCTCACACATGGACACATTGCCTATAATCCTCTCTTTTCCTTAAAAATTGTGAAGCTTTGGGGGCCCCTTTTTTCAAATAATGCATCTGTACATGTGTTTCCTTCCTAAAGGGTGACTACAGAATGAGAATAAAGTCTCATTGTGATTGGGTTCTTCTTGAATTGGTGACGGTTCCTTCATTTTGGCAGGAATGAGAGGTGATTTGAACTGTTCAACAACTTTAACTTTATTCTCTTCTGCTTCTTTACTAACAAGATCAAACAGGTCAAAACTACTTAACTCAGGAATTATTCCATAACTCATTATCTTTGATCCAGGGGTACATAGTCCATCTCTCACATCGGGGCTGGACCAAAACGTTTGCAATCGGTCATCAACCACATTGGGGTACTCCTCACTGCGCACATAGTTCCACAACATGGGTGTCTCGCCCAATCCCCCTCCCATGGGTGGTGTGTTGCAGACAGGACTGGGTTTGATCACTTTCCTCCCTCCACCTTGGTTGCGGGGATAGACCATGACAGTCTATTCTAAGGGGTTCACTACTTTTCCTCTAGGAGAAGAGGGGTCCGGAAGTAACCCTCCTCCTGTTTTGAGGTTTGGGAATTCTTTCAGCAGGTCACAAACCTTATTAGCCCGATTGTCCACACTGTCTTTCTGTACTGCGCTGTCTTTCCTGCTCCTCTCTTTCATGTCTACTTCCACTCTAAATGCCCGCACTTCTTCATCCCCTTTTATAACCTCCTCCCATAGTATCAGATCTTGCTCTTCCCTTTGTCCCCCTCCTTATCCTCCGCCAAACATATCTCTTACCACCTTCTCACCCTTCACCTCATCTTCCTCTATCCTTATGAGTTCTCCCTCTACACATCCTGATGTCTCCTCCTCTCCTTTCTCTGCTGAGGACGGCACACTTTCTCTCTGTACGTCACAATCATGTTCATGGGAATAATAGGAAATACCCAGTTTAGAAACATCAAGAACTGTGTAAAGATTCTTAAAATATGCTGTATTTATCACAGCATGTCTGATTTTTGCCTTTGTATGCATTTGGCTGATTGTTGTTTCAGGGAATCTTTCGCCAGAAAGGAAGAGTAGCATAGAAATGGTAACAGTAATAAATGAATGCAGTGATGAGACAGTGAGTTTAGGAGGAAATTGGGGGAATATACCGTAGTTGGATGTGTTCCACAGTGACTGCAGAATTAGATCCCTCACTTTGAAATTGATTCTGAGTTTGATTAACAGAATGTCTGTGACTCAGCAACCTTGAATGGTATCTCCAGCACAGGGCATCCTGTAGTTTCCAGCAGTATATACTGTATACAGCAAGAGAGTGTGTTTGTCCCTAATGGATCTCTTAACTAAGTGCCTCTAACAAAAAAGAAAGCACTCATCTGGGGGCCATTGAAAAGCAGTGTGTATGCAGCTACAGTTACATAATGCTGGCTGTTGTCAGAGCAACTTCTTACATAATAGCCGGGGCTTCCTGGTTGCATTGATCAGTGCAGTGGGAAAAGACTGTCTTTCACTGCCTGCAATGTAACAGTCACATCATAAAATGTAAGGATTGATTTGGCTTTGCTTGTGTTTTTTGAGCTTGATAGAAGGAGGAAATAGATTCCAGCCATTCTATAAAGAGGGCCTCCTCCTACACCCTTTTCCCTCTCTGTTTTTTATGTGTTGGCTCTCCAGATGTTTTGGCCTACATCTCCCATCAGCCCCTGTGGCCAATAGTAAGATATTGTGGGAGTTGTCATTGGCACATCTGGAGAATGCCACCTTGACGAGAACTGACTGTGCACACACTTGACTCCTGGCTAGAATGGAAAGGTGGAAAGGGCTTCATTGCAGTGGAGTGTAATGTGGCTTGGGGCTAAACCCTTGAATTCATCCTTGTATTAAGTATGGGGTCAGAACCCATCTCCTTGATAGTGGCTTTAGAAGACGTAGCTGTGTTGCTCTTTGCTAGCATAACACACAAAAATAAAAGAAAAATAAAGAAGACAAAAACATTGTGGCACCTTAAAGACTAACTGCTGTATTTTAATGTGAGCCTTTGTGGACAAGGCCACTTCCTCTTATGTCTCTTATACATTAAAATATAACTGTTTGTCTCTAAGGTGCCACAACGTTTTTGTCGTCTTTATATTTTTATATATTTTATTGTATTTTTGCCTGATATATCATATGTTACCATTTGCAAGCAGTGTTTGTTTTCAGAAACATGGAGGAGAATTCAAAAATCTGAACTAGAGTCTCCGACTATACTCTGAATACCATCATTTTAAATGCCTTGGTGTTGTTCCATTTTACTCTCACATTGCCTTTCTGTGTCTATAGAGTAGAGGAGGGCAACTTCCAGATCTCCAGGAACTGAACAAGCTCACAACTGGACTTTGGAGGGCTCTCCTTCTCTATGCCCTTATTCTCAATTCGTCTTTAAAAAGAAAAAAAAGTTTACAGGACCCTCTTGTGGATGTGGGAAGCAATTTTAGCAGTTTTGTTTTTTTTAATTACTTTAGCTCAGGAAAGTTTTTTAAAATTAAAATCAGAATAGAATAGAAACATTGACTTCCAATTAAAATAGCTTCTTTGGTTTTAGGAGGAAATAGAGTAATATCAATTGGACAATAGTTCCTATGCCTGTTAGGCATTGACTGCATTGTATGAGGTTGATGAGAGGTAGAATCAGGAAACATCTGGAGATCCACAGGTTATCTTCCCCTATCAAAAATAAAGTCCTACAGTTCAGCTGAAGGCATATTTGTGCAGAAATGAGGCTAAAGAGCTATGATACAAAGCTATACTAAGGGATACTTAGGTCCTGGTCAATAAAAATTTTTGGATTCTGGCTAACAGTGGGGGAGGAGGGACTACAGTGGACCCTCGACTTACAGACGGCTCGACTTACAGACTTCTCTGGCCACAAAATTTAGATTCGACTTGCAGCTGGAGAATCGACTTACAGACCAGAAAAAAACCAAAATGGAACAAAAATAGAATGAAAACTGCTGGTTATGGGATTAATCGGTTTTCAATGCATTGTAGGTCAATGGAGATTCGACCTACAGACTTTTCGACTTGCAGCCACTGTTCCAATACGGATTAATTCCGTAAGTAGAGGGTCCACTGTAGTGTCCACATCTTCAGATTTGGTTTTATGTGCTGAAAATGGTGAAGCAGGGAGCAGGTCCAGCACATCTCTCACCTCACATGTGAGGTGAATATGTGATTAAAAGTGACTTGAGTAAAATTAAAATGGTTTTGAGAAAGATTTATCCAATGAGCACAGCAAAAACATTTTTTGCCTTTCACAACTCATCCAGAACTTGTGAACATTACTGTTCTGGACCCCAGTTCCAAAGCTGCAAGAAAGAAATTGGGGAGGAGTAAATCTGGATTTTGCCCATCCCTAATCCTCCTTTTCATATGGGCAGATGGTGCTGATTATCTGAGTAGTGCAGCTGAAATAGGCAGGGTAGCTTTGGTTGCTGCCCAGATGGGTTACTGATTCAGGGTGTGTACCTGTCTTATAAGCCAACAAGTACAATGAGACTATGAAAAGGACAGGAGAGGGCAATGGGTTGTTATTATAACATGGCAACACCTTTGATTGCTAGTAAATTTGTTTCCTTACCTTATTACATAATTAGTTGCCATAACAATGCTGATTCAGCTTCCTAATTTACGAATGTGCATTTACACCGAGAGACCTGAACGTCATAGTTCCTTTGCTGGAGGCAAATAACTATTTGATTCATCTTCCTGTATAGTCAGCTCTCCTCAAGATGGTACCTCCAAATGTGCTGGCTACAAATCCCAGCATCCTGATCTTTTTGTCCATACTAGCTGGGGCTGATAGCATTTACGACATAACATATTAAGCAGGTGCAGAATGAAGGGTGTCTGATGTACAGAAAACTGGTTGTTACATTCAGGAAAAACAAATAGTCTCCCTTGAGTGCCTCCTAGTGATCATAATTTGCAAGTCTCAGGTCAGATTGCTAAAACAGCAAAATAAAAAACAAAAATAGTAAAAAATACTATTTAAGTAGTGACCTCTGTTTTGTATGATACATCGTCAAAATGGCACACTACAAAGTCAAATTCTTGTGCAGAAGAACTATTCAAATATTGTCAAATTTATTATCTTTACAATGTTGGACAGAATCCCAATTATGCATTTATAGCAGAAAAAGTTATTAGAAATATTCTTGTACATTCAAAATACAACATGCAGTACAGTATCCATATTTAGAAATTGCCTCACTGAAAATCAGTGGGTTTCTTCTTAAGTATTGTTCCAGTGCTATATTATGCATGAGAAAGCTAGTATAATAAACTAGAGAAATGACTTCTCAATTCTCAACAAAGGACATTGTAAGATTTAGATTTTTTTTGGGGGGGGCAGTGGTTCTTAGAAACCCAGAGTCAGTTTTGTGAGCATTGAACAACTCTTCTACAATGGTCATTTGGAAACCAGCAGATGCTGTTGGGCTGAAACTCCAGTCATTTGTGTGGCATCACAGATATTGCTGAATTGTAGTTCCCGTCAGACCTGCACTTGAGGGTCTGCTTGTTCCCTTCCCTGTTTCACTGTGTGACCACAACCATTGAACAAGTATTTCCTTCTATTTCAGCCTCTTTTTATTATT